ATTTTTGATCAAAATATTGAGACATACTGTATAGTAAAATAATTTGAAATATATTTTTTATGGTTGTACTTTAAAGGTTAACCTCTACACATTTGCTTACTGCCTTTACTAAATATAAAATCTTTTATATAAAAATAGGTACTTTTAACTTAATCTTATCTGCAAAAATGTTTACCTTTCATATATTTTTGTTGACATTTCTGTATTTTTTTGCAAACAGAAGAAATTCAGTGTAAATCTGATACACTCGTCAAAAATGTACCTAGATAGAGATAAGTCCCAGAGAATTAGCACGTATTTATACTTCTTTCACATATTTCTAAAAGAAGACTAACAATAACAAAAGATTTTGGTATGCTGTTTTGTTCCCTCCACATTAGCGAATAGGTCGCTAAAAATATTTACTAAAAATACCTAAAGGCAAAGTTAAAATTTTTAAGAACATTCATAATAACATTTGCATCTGGTATATTGATACTAATGTTTGCGTCAATGTAGACTCGGATATAAAATAAGAGATTCAAAAGTTAATTATTTGCATATCAGGGATATTAAAAATCGTTAATAACCTTATTACTAAGGGAAATAGTCAATTTAGTTGATAAGAATAGCCATAAACACTAAGGTAAATATTCATTAGGTAATTACCATATTAAACCAAATATTTTGTGGATATATCACAATGTTTTGAAACACCACATTTTTGATAAGTTTATTTGATGGTTTGTCATTTAATCATCTTAAAAAAAGTTGTCGCAAAGAAAAGTGATTCACTTCAGGTATATTAATATTATTCGAATTCGAACTATTTGATTGCTGCTGTTAGAAACAATTATATTTTCGTAGAACCAACATCTATTTTTTTTTACATAGAACTCTTTAGGAATCTTGATGCTCTTGCGCTAAGAAAAAGCTAGTCTATATGTATATATTTGCATATTTCTCGTAATATAGCAACGTCACGTAAAACAGGTTTGAAATTATTATCAGAACATTCTTCTTCAATGAAATTAATTTTCAAAATCAATAACCAATGTACAGTTACAGCGGAGACAGTATATGCAGCGGTTATTATAAAGTTCTGTACCCCCTATAATGTTTAGATTTCTTGAAATTGTAATGAATAATTTCACCTTGTATGTACATATTTAAAGCGAGAAGAAAACATGTCATAGCTACTACTATCGAGAATATGTCAAGGCAAGTTCTACCATATCCGCGAAAATTACAATTTCTTTGCTGTGATTGCTCTGTATACATATTTGCAGCTAAAAAGTTGATAGAAAAATAACTCTATAAGTAACGTAAGTAATGTTTTATTTATATTGATAAATATAAAAATTAGGGAAGTGTACAAGTCTTAATAATTTTATACAGGGTGTTAATAAACTTATATCAAAAATTTAAAGGGGTGAAAAAGGAGCAAAAACTGAGTTAACTGATGTCACAAACTAAAGGTCGTAGAGAAAAAAGCTAATTAAAAAATTTGTTTAAAACTGTTTTAGAACTGCTGAAATACATGTATTTTATCTCGACGAGTACCCACAAAAAATTCTGCAACACTTTTTACGAGTTTATAGATTTCTTATGAAGCCGGACTGTATTTCGTGACTTTCTAAACATTACTTTTCCCGATCGCTGGATAGGCCGCGGCAGCCTAGTTAGATGCCCCTCCGGTCCCCGGACCTCACCCCTTTAGACTTCTTTTTATGGAGATATGTGAAAACTGTTGTGTATTACACGGAAGTTCGTGACATCGACCAACTGCGACATCGTACTGCCGAAGCTTCTAATACGGTTCGAGAGGACGTGGCAATGTTGCAACGCGTGCGAGCGAATTGGATACGTCGCGCTGAAGCTTGTGTGCAAGCAAATGGTGGATACATGGAACACCTTCTATGACAATCAGCACTTCTCAAAAGGTGGCTCCTTGCAATGTTTAGGTAAGTCAGATTTTAAAATTGCATTTTTTTGACATAACGGAGATGTGACAAAAATATTTGACATAAGTTCATTAACACCCTGTAGACAGTGCATTCTTATTAAAACACGATACATTGAATTAATTGGCCATATTTTGAATAATATTTCGAAACGTTAAATTTTATTTTTAATAACAAACTTTTATTATAATGTACATTATAATAAACATGGGTACGTTACAAAAACTGTTACGGCTGTGTCTATTTACAACTGAAGTTTGTGAAGGACAGTTACTGAACTCAAGTCGACGCAGTTAATCATTCTCATAAACTCATGAACTTGTTTAATGCCTCTAATGCCTGACAACGTGTAGTGTGAGAGAGAATAAAAAGGTAATAAACGTAAGTGGCAATTATCAAAATATTATTTAATACTCAACGATGTCTGTTTATATCTTCTAGATTAGTGGCTGATTACCAATGCAAATATTTATAGGCGAAAATATAACTAATTTATCATGGGTTGCTCGTAAATAGGATAAGTTGCTAATGAATATTATTTTACTTTCTCTGTTAATTAGGAAAATTAAGGTGTGGATTTTTCATTAGTGATGTGATACTTAGAGGAAATAGAATATACCTTTATTAAAACTTTCCACGATAACATATTTTACCTAGCCTCTGTACAACTAGATGGGGACGCTACAGATGTGCTTGCCAAAGACCTAAATTTCTCCATAACACCTAGGATAAATCCAAAAGAGAAAATCGTTAACCCTCTGGAAACCACTTACCCCCAATAAGTCGCGAGAGAAAAAAAGGTTGAAGCAGTACGTATCAGGAAATGTATAAGTCATCAAAGAACTTAAAGAAAATGTAGAAATGACTATACTCGCGGACAACAGAGCAAATGCAACTGTTATCTTGGAAATGCTGCAGGACCCGGTGCATAAGATCAAGGATAACCCAATCAAAAGAGATGAGGGAGAGGTGGCATTTGCGATTCCAATATTCTCAAGGAATTACATAGGGACCCCTATTTCGAGTGAATCAATAACAAAACGTGTTAGGCCAAATATTTAGAGGGAAATACCAGTCAAAAACAATGGAGACTTCAGCAATATCAAATCCTACTAGATCCAGTTGATATGCTAATGAATTTTGACCTAATGTCGTTGTTCACGAAAGTCCAATTAAATCAACTCATTCCATCAGAATAGTGTTTGTATAGCGTTCAAAAATACGAACTCGTATAGACAGACGTGAACAAACTAATCTCTTTAGTAAAGTAACTAAACTAGAGGAACTAAATAGAAATGTTCTGAATTTTTGGGTTGATCTATATTCAATTTTAATGTTTAATGTATACGAAAACTTCCTTATTATTATAATTATTCACACAGTATTGCATGGAACATATTCCTTAATATTTCCACTAATTTTTCCTAGAAACAATTGCTTTGATTGACGATATCAGTTTTTCTGAGTTTGATTAGACCATTTGTGTATGATATTCTTCTGTTGTAATTGCCTTTTCTATATTAATTTTTAGAATATCAAATGGGTAACTTTCCAAATGGATCTATCGACTACGAGAATTTTTAATACAGTTGAATAAATTAGCTAGGTAGCATTGTATTTATTTAGTATTGTATAATATTCGGTAATGTACCAACGCAGCGCAACCAATTGGGAATACCTTCTGATTTCTAGCAAACACGGGAATTCCTTTATGTAGATAATAAATTTATCAGTTACCCATATTTATTTATTTAACAGAATAAATTGTTATAAGTATGTAGATAGTAATATGTATCGGAGTACATTGAAGTGTTATAGCATCGTCATTTTTTATAAAAGAAAAGTTTGGCCGCTCTTGGCTTTGAATCATTCATTTCTATATTTCAGATCAATTGTTTTGCAAAGACGCAGCATATTTCTTTGGCTTAATATCCTACATTTAGTGAAAGCAGATGTTCATACCGCTGCTGCTAGATTTTACATTACAGCTTTTGATATGAATCAAATCATCATTCATGTCAACGTGTTATTTGTTTACTGTTTCTCTGGTAATTTTAGTTATGGGTTTTTTGGTTCGTGGACAGTTGAAAAAATTGGGAATTATTTTTTGGTTACGTTGACGATGGCCAGAAACTAACCAAAATTGAGACTGAAATAAGTTTGTCGGAAATTATTGCCATTCTTCAGACTTATGAACAACGAAAATAAAAGAGTAGCTGGATTAAGTCACATTATGGATGTACCAACTGGTTAATCCTGATTTCTCGTCCATTAGGGAGTTGTAGTATCTTTTGGAGAAGGTAAAGTTAAGTTAAAATCAAATTTATTTTCCAATGGAACCAGTGATACTATTCTTTATATAGATTTTGATGCTTTGTTTTTCGAAAAGTAAACAACAACAATCACAGGCGAAGATGATCTAACAGTTACTTAATTATTGTCGCTTGAACTTGAAATTAGACTGTTTCAATTAATTCCTTATTAAAAACTTGCTTCTACTTATGTCGGTTTATAACATTCCTCATAAATAACTGTGATAAAATTATCGTTGGCAATGCGCAATTATTTTATTGCCATACAAAACCACTCATGTTTTTGGACTTGTCTAAAGACATTATTCAAATCATGCTTTTCATTAACTGTTTCTTTTTATTTTCAAGAGGATAAATGTCCATTTTTATGACAATTTGACCAAAAATTTGACTTCAAAATTGACATATTCATTGAAACTATCTATATATAACAGAATTCTAAGGTACCATGACATTGAAATAAAAATTTAAGTAACAATTTATGAATAAAATGTATCTTATTATCTTATAAATCACAGATCGTGTTTATCTCACTTTCATCAAGATTCAGCTGACTGCTGACTCAGAATTGTTACACATTCAAGATTAGAAGGCTATATCGTTTTTCAATAATAAAATGATATAATAAGTACCAGCGCACAGTTATTTATAGTTTATTTCCACATTTAAATAATAACCTCACATTTTTTATCAAACTGCGAAAACCGCGAATTGATAACCGTCAAAAAAAATTACATTTACTTACCAAACACATTTAACACAAAATAACACACAATCAACAACAGTAGTTCCTGAATTACGTTCATCTTAAATCTCAAGAACGTATGAATAAAATCATTGACGCATTTTAAACGTGTTCGCCTTCGCGCGAATTCAATAAAGACTGGATAAATTCAGTCACAGAGTGACTGACGATAATGGGAGGGGTGTAACCACTTAGTTTAAACAAAATATAAACCCGGCCTAGGCGGATGGTATACGGATTTGATGTAGGCAACCTGCAACGCAGGAGTGGTTGCGACGATAAGAGATAATATTGTTTTGTTTATTTTATAGGATATAACTGCCATCCTTTGAAAAAGAGATACAGAAACGTTAAAACTATTTTGTTTCTTGAGTAGGTAATCAAGACAAATAAAGTAAAAAAAAATACGTTTTAGCTTTTACAAATTAATAATCATAAATCAATTCAAATTTTTTTAATTATTTTCAGATCTTTTTGTGACTGGTCCGTAAATAATACATTTCAGTAGGTAATATTTTGGAATTGGCTTTGAATAATCTCACCATGCGTCAACATTTCATTATGTAAGTAGGAAATTATGCATAAAATAAACACTATAACCATTTTCACTTGACGTGAACATGACAGCAATGTAAACAATAACAAAGACTTGTGCCCTTCCTGGGACAGATAACTCGTGTTGTTCCTCAAATCGGTTCAATAGCCATCGCTTATCTTGTTTGTCCAAAACATTTCGTAGATAACTACCAAAACAAAACAAAACAAAATCGCTTCTGGAAGTCACTATTTTTTAAAAAATTGTGTAAAAGAGAATACATTTCACTTGCATAAGGCCAAGTCAGTTGAATTTTTTGCTTGACAGGGCATAATTCAATAATGGATGTACACATCCTCAATTCATATTTTATGGTGATATAAATAATTTCCTTTATTAATTCTGAAACACGTTCTTCAAACCCCAAAGATGTGATTATTTATATGTATTTTTGAATTCTTAAATACATCGTCCATAACAATTCTAAAACAGAAAAAGATGATTTAATTTTAAGTTATTCTTTTGAGAGTATTTTGATATACCTACTATTTAAATCGGTGTTTATGTCCTGGTTTAACAGAGTAAGATAATTGAGTGTCGTCAGCATAACATTGGATTTCACTATATCTGAATGAAAAATATCTGCAAAGTATATAAAAAATTGCACCGGTCCTAAAACGGATCCCTGGGGAATACCAGATGTTATAGGGGCAATATCTGAAAATACAGTATTAAATAAAACTGTCTGTCGGTGGTTAGACAAGTAGGTATAAAAAAAATTTACAGAACTTTAAGCAAAGCTGTAACATTTGCTAAAATTGCCGTGGTGCGAATATGAGAATGATAATATAAGTAAGCTTAAGATATGTGCTTTATAATTGCAGTGTATGTAATCTTACTAGATTTTAAAAAATAATATGGATATCACACTCTTCAAATCGATATATTTTAAGGTTTCTAATATTCCACTAGACAAAGAAACGATGCAGAGCTACATTTTTTTCATTCACATAGTTCTGAAAACAGTGACTGGTGAACACAAGCTTTTAAACTGAAACTAATCTTGAATTTACATAATATGTATACTGCGTTGCATACTCTGCATGTATAGCCATTACGTATATTTGGCAACGTATTAAAATAGTGTTAAAGTTCTCGAAAATTCATAATTTATCATGAAAATCAATACGTTTCTTTCATTTAATAATTTCTGGATCTAGATGTCATTGCCTGTTCTCATTAAATTTTGTCAAGTTCATTTAATAGGTATTTGCCTCAGGATACTAGAATCACGGAATAATAACAGACTCTTGTAGTCCAAAAATTTGTATTCCATTTCATTAATAATTGATTGAATTGATGATTTTGTTCATAAAGCACGACGATTGAAATGTTGATAATGTTTGTCGATCTCTTTGATCCTTGAACGATTTATCGTCTTTCCTTTTAAATGAACAAAAGAGAGAGAAATATCCATTCCACTGACTGCTGTGGTTAAATTTTAAAAGCTGCCTAAGATTTATAACTTAGCTTATGTTATTTTTATATAAATATGCATTCACTTAAATACGTTTGTTCAGCTTTCGCGTCTAGTTGCTTTGTTTGTAGAAACTCGATTTCATCCCAAGAAACAACAAAGGAAGTGGAGATTGTCCAACAAACATTGATATAAACAGTCGTTAATTATAATGAAATTAATTATGATAGATCATTTTTGGGACAAAATTAATGAACTTTAAACGATCCTAACTTTCATATTGAATTATAATTTTAGGAAGTTCAGCTTAACGCCTATATTGTCTGTGGTAGGTATGCGCTTTTTTCTTTAGTAGGTATCTAGTATTTTGATAATAGTGTATTTTTGATTTTAAATAATTGTTAATGACAGCGTGCCACAGTCTTCAACATATCATTGTACTGGCGAACATATCACTGCAATAAATGGTCCTTATTGTGATAGACTGTATAAAACCACCCTATTTTCTTTCATTTTACAGCGTTAAATAGTGACGTTACGACATATTTCCAGGACTAATTCTTCTCGTCAAAGTAAACAAAAGATGGAAGATCAAAAACTGAATTATTTATATCTAGGTTACTTGAAAAAAAAAATAATAAAACTGAGATCATTTTGAGTAGGATAAATTTTTTTTGTGACATTTTCAAAATTTTTGATTGCATAACGGCGATGATTCAATGCCAATGACGGCAAAACCTAGATAAGATCCGGCTCCCGCATGCCATCGGAATTTCCATCAAGAGTAGATAGTGAGAGTCTGTGTTGGAGAGGTTGAAAAGTGAATGTCGAAGAAAGAGCTTATGGACGATGGCACACAGTTTACAGTTTCGTTCTGGCGCTCGATGCACGAGCAACTTTCTCTTGGGCGGTCTCGGTTTCGTCGTTGGAATCGTGTCAAGAAAAAAACAATAACAATCATCACCGACGATGAACCGGCGCGGTGCCCATGCCATCGTCAACCGTGAAAGTGCCTTGTTTGTCTGCTATTATTTGTTATTAATCACTTTTACTGGTAAGTCAATCATGTATCAGAATAAATTAACACTAAGTGCAAAAGGGTAGAGTTATTTTTAAATTAGTACAAACGTTTTTTTTCCTAGTAGTTTCAGCTACCATGCCTTCATCAGGGAAAAACTAAATATATTAAAAATACAAACTTTAACATATCAAAATTAGCGTAAAACAAACGTTCAAAATTTATTTAAAAAAAGAACAATGTTAAACAAATAAATTCATACATCGAAATTATGGCCTAGTTACACTTACAAAAACTATCATTAGTAAAGAATTGGCTAAATAAAACTGCTTACAAATGATGCTTTTTTGTAAAATATTGAAAATATCAAAAATGTTCTTTCAAGACATCGTATCAAATTGAAAATGAACACACGACAGACTTGGAAGAAAGAAAATTGTCGATATTTTCATTATTTTTTACAAAAATGTTTACAATGTCATTCATTAGCAGTTGTATGCTTCCATCTCCTTTCCAATGCTTGCCATTGTGAGTATTTCTATATATGAATGCATTTCTTTAATATTATCTGTTTTTTACATATAAATTTTGAACAAAATAACAAAATAATTTATTTTACGATTAGTTTTGTCCATATGTGGAAGTTTGTTTTTTATATACTGTAGTTTCTTTTCTCCTGATGATGGCATAGTAGCCGAAACAAGTAGGAAAGGAAAATAAATGTTTATACTGAAAAAGGACCCTAATTTAATCCTTCACACTTACCATCATTCAGTATTACAGTGAAATTGCTGTTGTACTTGCTGTGCAATGCTGTAACATTATTTTTAAATATTTCATGGTGATCAGCTGGTATTTCCAACAGATGTTCCAAAAGACATTCAATGAATATGTTACTTACCTATTGTATTATGTTTTTTAATAATTCATTATTGAACCAATATGAAAAATACTTGAAACTAGTCTTTTGAAAATAATTTATTTCAGCCTATCTACGATATGTGTGATAGAATAGAGTGAGATATTTGCGATAGAGTTTCGTTGCAACTAAATTCAGTCTTTAATATGAAATCTTGAAAATCTTAACTCTATCGTAAATATCACAATATGTACTTCATTGTGTAAGGTTCTACAGCTGCTTGCATAAAAAAACTAACTAGCGTTTTAAAATATGATTGATTAGCTTATTAATAAGTATATTTTTATAGCAAGAGCAGTTATAGATATAAAAGTAGGTAATTGTTCTAGAATATTAACTGCATTTAGATATAAGAAAATCTATGTGTTATATCCTTGGGTTAATAAAATATTCTAATTAATTTTTTCTGTTCGAAACTAACTGTTGATATAGATACATATTACGACATAATGTACCACGTACTTAACTGTGCTTATAAAGACTAGAATATCAACAGATTTCAATGTCACTAGCATTTTTTCCAAGTTATATTTAGTTTCTTCAACAGCTTTTATTAGAATAGGATTGAATAATATTTTTAATGTTCCTTGTGATGCAAGGCTATCCAGAAATGTAATATTTAATAATATAAGTACAAAAAGATTACTGTTGTAATTTTGAAAAGGAAAAATTAAATAAAAACTACTCTTCACAGACTATTAACCACTTATGATGAGATTTAATATCTGTGTCAATGAATATAAGTGTTATTTTATCTGACACGATGAAATTTGAATTCTTTTTATGTTTGAAAACAAGGTTCTAAATTCTGGAACGTCTGGACTAACTATATTTTTCAACTATGATGATAATGACGATTTCCCAGGTAAATTATACTTATAAAAATACAATATTAATATACAATTTTGTCCTGTTAGCATTTTTAAATATACTGTTTATATGGGGTTATTGTTATGTAAAAATGCTTTTTTTTTCCAGGAATATATGCACAGCGATCCAAAGGTCGGAAAAAACCGGAGACGGTCACCGATCTATTCAACACCACTTCCTGTATCCCCAAACCATACAGATGTCCACATAAGCAAATACAGTTTTACTTGTATACAAGGTAATAAATGTAATATACAGGGTGTAAGAAATTCAACTACCATTACTTCACCATGAGATAGAGTAATCACAAATGAACAAAATAATTGTATATTACAAGGACGTAAGATTAACAGTTTTCAAAATACAGCGTGTAGTAATATTTGGGAGTTTCATCACAACGTGACAACAGCGCTTAACCTGCTAATGCACACTTTGTGTGCACGCGGAAGACTTATCCTATGGAAAAAATGTAAACAACTATTATTGTGAAACATTTAGTAAATTTCAAGACAATTAATAATTGTTTTCCAGTTTTTGAATAAGTAAAATAAAATGTATCGATTTTGTAGTACGAAGATAGTGTTGTGGAATTTTAGCTGGAATTTCAGTAATTATGAATATCTTAGAACAGGAACTTTTAATCTTATTACGGATTTGAAAAATATGTAATTAAAGTACCCAAAGATTCACATCGTCCAAATAGTCATACGTATTAGAAATAATTTAGGTACTTACCAAGAAGCAAAATCCAGTAATTTTTAAACACACAAGGACAAACAAACTACAACATATGCTTAAAATGTCCACCACAAGAAACACCTCAAGAAAAGGAAATAGTGGTACACAAAAAACACTCCAACACGGTCGAATCCAGATACTAACTGAATTGCGTATTAATATCATGTTAATAAACTGCCGCGCCGTTGTCACATTGTCCGATATGAATTTTATCGTATTCTAAATTTATTACAATGCTATTATTTTTTAGAATTAAGCATAAAGAAGTTAAAAAAAGTGATAAACATTGTATTTTGTGGTATTCTATGCACGCAATTATGTCAATATTTCCTAATTAATAACTTTTGGAAGAAGTTTCTCGGAAATGGTTGAGTTTAGGACCCATGTCATCCGAGGTTTCTTTGTTTATTTTAATGTATTCTATCGTCTGTTAAAATTAAGGCCGTCAAACTTCTAATACCCTGTAGATAGATATGACAATTATGTGTCATATTTAGCAGATTAGTTTATTACTTTCATTTTTATTGTGATTTGAGTTTCCAATAATGTTTCATAGAATCTGAAAAACAATTGTCAGTTTTGTCCCATCTGATATATTTTTTTATAAACTGTTTGCTTGTACCAATATTTACCATTTTTCTTTCCTAAGGATCAATTAGTAGTTTACCTAATATTTGGAATCTCTTAGCCAACATTTTCGATAATAGACGCACTGGTCTTGACACTGTTTTTTTAACTGAAATTTTGTCGCTTTCTTGTTTTGTAAATGTTGTAATATATATTTTTAATTTTATGGTTCCTATCACTTAAGTGAATAAGATATAAATTTCACATAGTATCGATGGGAATCGATCTAATCTTGGTCTGTCAAAGTGCACGATTTAGTTTTATGCGTAATTGGTTTGTGCAATAAAAAGGAAGATTTTCCTATTATTATACTTTTGATTCAATGAAACAATTAGTTTAATTGAACCTATATTTATAATAATTCTAACTAATTCAAAGGGAATTCACTGAGAATAAGATACCGTTTCCTATACTAATTTGAGGATTTTTCACGACTTTCCTTCATTATGTCCATTTACATCAATATAGAAGTAGGTACAAGTTTGTTTGAAATCCAAAGTCCATATGAACAACTGCAATAGATGTGTCGGCAAAGGCAAATATTCTAATGAATGTGTGGCTACGTATTTATTTACGCTAATCGATATTGCAACCTTAATTTTACGTTCGACAAGTTATTAGACTCATCATTATCACGGTCGAGTAGGCTTTGCATAAAAAATTACGTGTGTTACATCGTTACGACACTGTTTATCCGGAGAAAGTACTAAATATAGACATAAGTGACATCCGTCGGTGTACTTAAAAGGTATTTAATTAAATATCCAATATAGTCCTCAACAAATGACTATTTTTAATGATCGTTGTTATTCTACCTGAATGCGCGCATTGTTTTACATGTTTCAGAATTTGAGGTCAATAAAATATGATAATTTTAAAGAAATAAATAGTTTTTGCGAAATTATTTTCAAGGATGTTGACGTTCCCGATGACTAGTTCAAGTACTGTTTTGTCTCTTTGTCGTCAATGTCGCGGAATTTGACGTGTAATTGTTGTCCCTAGGATAATACTATATAACTCATCACATTATTTTTTTCACAAACGAAACGTATAATTACATTTTGTTTGAAAAGTAATACATCAAAAGTCTATAAATATCATTGATTACACAGCCCCACAAAAAAAAAAGGATCGGATCTGGTATTCAGACCCATGTATTTTTTTTCGCTGAATCCGAATCTGCCTTCAGATTTGGCCTAACTGGACTGAGTTTTCGGGAAAATTCAAAAAACAGGTCAAAATTCACAAAAACGTCGACGTATGATTTTTCACTCGTTTAATTCCAATTTATCATCATAGAGTCAGACAAGCTGGTCCAATTTCATTCAAGTTATGTCAATCTTACACACTTGGACACAAAATAAATGTATAATGAATATACTTTTATTTTGCACATAAAAAGTTTTTATTATTTCGGTCGATTTATATTTGTCTTCGGCTAATCCATGTAAACGTTTTATGCAATAACGCTGTTGAAGACTGGTCAAGTAAAAGTGGTATTTATCTTTAGTAAGTCAAGACCGTTTGCAGTTAACCTGAAATAGCTAGACTACACTTTATTTTGCAAGACATTTTGTTTGTAACATTGGAGCTCAACAAGGTCATCGATCACAATAGGCGAAAATTATGAAACGAAGAACTTGGCAATGGTATCAGTATGAATGAAATATTATTTTTAAACGAAAATAGTAAACGAAAATGTCCTGAGCCCAGGAAAGAATTGACACTAATGGAAGATATTGATACAATATCTTCTTACTCTAAACGTGACTGTATTCTGTTTATTCTACATGTTTTAGTAGTAAATTTTCTATATTTATTTTTAGATGTGTACTAATATGAATTATTAAATAAATTATGGCATTTAGTAATACTTATATAAGTTAATATACTTTACCATTAGTGATAGAATATTTTTTACACACTTTCTACTTGCTAATAATTTGCATCAATATTTTTAAATGTGAAAGTGTTTTTAAATGAAAATGTTTCACAATCCTGAGAATTAAATGTAGAAACAATCCTATTTTAGTGGAATCCGATGACACTTCGTCGAGTTAGACTTTTAAGACTCAATTTTCTTGACACTTTCGACCACTTCTGTATCTTCTATATCTCTGCCAATAAAATAGTGTAACAATTAAACTAAAAACTACCCTACACGGAGTGCTCCAGTTTGGGCGAACCAAACTTTCATTCAATAATTCAATATTACCACACAGTGTTGTGGTATTACATTAACTTAATTATTCCTTTCCAAATTTGCGTGAATGTTTTTAAGTTTAATTTTTGTTAAAACATAAGAATTATTGCTGTTTTCAGAAGGACGCAACAGAATCCTGAATTGCTGGATACAACCAAACTGGATTCTTTGTACAACACTCAATTTAACAGAGCTTATCCAACGAAGATAATCATCCATGGCTTTGGTGGAGGAAGGATGTATTCTCCAAGTACCGACATGAGGGATGCATATTTCTACAGAGGAAATTACAACGTCATCATCGTTGATTATGGAACGCTAGTTAAGGAACCGTGCTTGAAAGTAAGTACAAATTCTATTATAGTAACAATACAATAGTAACATTTTCAATAGGTTTTTCGAAAAGTCAGGTACAATAGTAGTAGCATAAAATCTGATTAACCTTGAAAGGTTATCTATTAAGAAATGTTGATATATTCAGAACAACTATTTAATTTAAGGAAAACAATTACATTGAGGCATGCCGTTACTTTCAAACTGTTTTTTATAGAGTTGTAGAATAATCGACGATTTGGTTATGCTTTTTTTAAGGCAAAAAAACAACATATTGAATGCCACTGACCTTGTTCACATTTTAAAATTTCTCTGGATATATTACGTAGACCCCTTGGAATGGGTATATCAGTTATTCTAAAATGATCTCATTTAGAATATAATAAGTTTAAAGAAACTATGAGAAGTATATTTAAATAAAAATGGATTTTTTTTCTGAAATTTGTAACCTTTAAACCTTAAAAATATTCATTATAGTTTTTGTTGCATTCAATAATAATTATATGAATTACTGTTACGCTTGAGTACCAACAATATGTACAAATAAAATAATTATTAAATTGTGATATCCGAATTTTGTAATAATGTCGAAAACTGATTCACAAACCATTAAACAGAGAACAGAAAACGTAATATATGTTATATAAATTCATTTATTTCGGCCATTCTTCATTACATGAAATTGAGTTTACTAAAACATGGTTACGTTTGTTAGTAAGAATATTATATAATTGGTAATTTCGCGCTTAGAATTGTGTTATAACCATGTAAATTACAATTTGTTTAAACGTGAACTTATTTTTGCTTATACAGAGCAGACATTCAAGTACATAGATTTAAAAACTGTTTGTAACCCTGTTTACACAATGGTATTTTGTATATAACATTTTTGAACATATCTCAAAACAAATACTTTTCCGACATTTGTAATACACTGTCATTTGAATAGCCTGCTTCGTTATAGAAACAATAATATTTATGAATACTCAGATATTTGAAATTAATAAAAAAAATGAAAAATTTTACCCAAATATTAAAAAAATTTCAAAATAAAGCAAGTACTTTTTAAGGACAAGCTTGGTTTTAAAATTTAATTTTGGCTTGGATTATGTTAGTGTTATTTAGCACAACTTCACTGTTCTAGCAATAACTCAAAAACGAATAAAGATATCGACCTCCGGTTTGTGTATTAGTTTTCCTTAATAAATGGTAGATATATCAAGCTATGAAAAAAATATCGTTGCATTTAATTTTTTAAGCAGACGGAAACAATTTCAAAACTTTTCTGATTAGCTTCATCTACCGTTGCGCAGGAAAATCATATTCTTATTCCCATATCACAAATATAAATTTTATTAATAGTTCTTTAAAATGAGCCATCGTTTATTGAAATCGATTAAGGCATTTAGAAGTTATGACAATTTAAAACTTTCAAGATGGCGTCCTTCATACTGGCGTTGCTATGGTAATAACAAAAAAAAACTTCAAACAAAACTTGTGAAGGGTTTAACAGTGTATCCAAAAAGTATATTTTCAACTTAAGTTATATAAGCAAAATTTCGAAAAACGACAATTTTCCGTAATACTATAGCAGTTGCGCCCCCTAGCGGTGAAGTTACAAACTTGAAAATATTTGAAATCAATTTCTTATGTTTAATATACCGAATTTGTTTCAAGTTAGTGACCTGCACTGTATATTCATACCCATCATATAGTTTAACATAAACAGACAAACAATAATTCGAATTTTTATGAAACGACTGATCTAGTGGTGAATTTTCATATACCTGTTTCTTTCAAGACATTCTATATGTCACAAACGACTTATGACAATTACTTTAGCTCACACCCTCGTTTGTTCTTTTAACCTATTATTGTAACCATTCCCGTAATTAGCTGTTAAACGGACATTCTCCTTTCTTTCAGCAAATGGAGTGGGCTCCAAGGTTCTGCGCCAAGTGCATAGCTCAGTTGATCCATTATTTAGCTCAGCATCCCAGAGGGGTACGAGCCGACGATTTGCACGTGGTAGGGTACAGCGTGGGGGCACATATTGGAGGACTGGTGGCCAATTATCTCGATCCCGAGAAGGACGGCAAGCTTGGCAGGATCACAGGTAAAAACTGTGTAATAGCAAATAAATAAAAATGTTGCATTGGACCAAACAAATTTTTTATCTAATATATCCTTTAAACACGGTCGATAGCCGCACGATTTAAGGCGTCAGTACTTAAATCGATGTGTCGATCTGCCCGGGTTTCGAATCCCGCGGCCGGTAGACCGTAGATTAGCTATGCTTGTACGAAGGATTGGCACCCTCTGTGCAGATATGGTAGGGTGGAAAAATGTTGGCTTGGGTCAATGTGAGAGATTGACACCGGTTGGCATTTGACCGCCCCCCTAATTAATGAGGTTTTCCAGGTTTCCCTCATTCCTGCACTGAATGGTGGTTAGGGCCTACCAACATAAGTCGTACCTGGGCGCAAATGCGGCCTGAGTAATAATAATATGCCGGCTCCTCTCCCGCACAAGTCTCCGACTTCTGGGCTAATTCTCGTAGTTAGAATGAGGAGTAGAGATATTACATTATTATTATTATTATTAAATACACTGATGTAAATAAAACATATACAAAACACTTGCAACTTTGTTTTCGATTGTTTTATCCACAACTAAATGTCTGCCAGGAAAGCAAAGAAATCTAAAAATACTCAAATTTCTCTCATAGGCAGATTTAGATATCTAATAAACCAAAGCCTCGATCAGCACTTAAGCTCCCTCAGTATCTAGTTAATAGGCCATTCGTCAGTAGTACCACCAGACATAGACCGGATCGAACTTAATTCTCATCAGTAAATATACTCACTAATGATCTATTATGTCTATTTATCGACATGGTTTGAGTATGAGTGAGATAAAAATCTATTTCGTACTCTCTGAGCTTGATTTTGTTAAGAATCAGGATTTTATTGTTCTTTTCTGCAATGAAACTTCAACATTTTCCTTGCCTAAATCTGGGGTGCCAGTATTTAGTAGGTGTCAAAAATTATTGTGATCTTGTTGGATCAGAGGTTCTTAACCTAATTAGTTTCTTTATCATCTTCCTTCAAAATCAATTATCAAACTGAATTATGATTTTTATTATTTCAAATTCTCATTAACGGGACTAAATATTATTTATAGCAAAATTAAGGAATTTTATTGGATATATTAGTAACACTATAATTTCCTCAATTTTTATAAAAAGGAATTGCGTGTGATTTTATGCAAATTGATAAATTTAGCTATTAATTTTAAAACATAAATATGTTTCTTTGTTAACAAGCAACATAAAAAATAATAACAGTTACACTGTTTTTAGTTGTATGATGCCTACGTTGTATTTCATCGAATTCTATATCTGTCCTAGACATCATATTAAAATGTTGATTTGAAGATTATATCAATGCTACACAGTAGCAAGTTAAATTTTAGCTAATTTGATTTGCCATCTGGGTATTTTTATGTATTAATGCGTCTTTGAGAAAATGGTGTCGAGACCAACTTTCCTAAACACTTTCTTCAATTCATTTTAGGACAATCTTCTGATTAATTGATAAATAACATTTAACCCAACTAAATATTTGAATGCCGTCCTTACTAATAATAAATAACCATATCACAGTACGAAGTGCAGCAACTGTAATAACAATTACAACCGATTGTTTGTTAATATATTGTTTGCATCTCGTACGCGAACTACTTTGGTGGTCTCGAATAATTTTTTAACTCGGCTTCGCCTCGTTAAAAAATTCAATTCTCGATCACCAAAGTAGCATTTTGCGCACTAGATAAAAAAATAACTATTCTACAACTAGTAAAACAATAATGTTGTTGTCTTACAGTTATATAACATTTCCTGTATAGTGAAACCATTTGCATCGCCCACAATAAGCTACATTTTCATTCCACGTCCCTACTATTTATTTTATCTGGAATGAATGCAGCGCAGTTATGATCCTGGGAAAATTATTTAAAAGTGAAAGTTTAATATCATACTGTGGATTAAGGACGTAATAATACGCAACCTATATGTAAATATCTATGTTTTCTTTGGAAAGTTGGCAGTCATGGCGATGATAAGTTTGAAATAAATTTGATATCAGAGTAAGGAGAAAGTTTTCGAGGAAACCTTCGCGTGGATACCCATATATCGCACCTACAAAGTGACAATTTAAAAAAGTTGTTTACTTTCCTTGAGGTAACTATTACAGCAGTATCAATATTTGACTATAATAAATTGTGCATTTTAAAAATGGTAATGAGGTCATAATCATGAAACAATGGAATGTCAAATGTTAGAATAGATACTCTCTACACTTAGATAATTTTGTTGTTTCGATTTCTATAGGATTAGACCCGACTATCGTATTTTACATGGGCCAAAACAAGTCTAGGGATCTGGACACTTCAGATGCACATTTTGTGGATATCCTGCATACAGGAGCCGGAATATTAGGACAGTGGGGTCCAAATGGTCACGCAGACTTTTACATTAATGGTGGATCTAGTCAGCCAGGGTGTGGAAGCGATACTGTATTTAGTAAGTAAATTAGTACTGTAATTAATTAATTAATTAGCTAAGTAATTAATAATAATTGAACAGTTAATTATTTTTAAGTTTATTACTGGCTATTTTTCCATATTGGGAAAGTACAATATGACTTTTTCACCAGGAATTCATTCCTTTTATAAAAGAAAGCAACTCTGTGTTTTAATTCTATTTAAAGGCTTTCTCAGGATTACAGGATATATGTGGTGTAACGAGATGGTACTTTTTATGGAACGTTCTACCTATTTCAACTTAATTCTTTCATTTTCCATTGTAAATAAATATTTGCTAATATTCATCATTACTATTCACAGAAACTTTAGCTTGTGATCATACCAAAGTGACACCCTACTTCATAGAATCCATTGTCACCAGTAAAGGATTTTGGGCATACCCCTGCCCAACGCTTATCAGTTTCATGCTGGGATGGTGCAACCCAGAAGATAACCAGTATGTTCTAATGGGAGAACATGTTAGCCATAAGTAAGTATTGCAATTCCACTTATATAACTTCTACTAGTCTGTCAAATTATAGTTACTATTACAAACTGCTAAATGATTGTCGCTTTGGACATAAATGTTCTATATCTGTATCACTGTCTAATGGTATAATACATTAGCTGTGTGTGTTGGTTTCATGGTTACACTTATGTCAGTATTAAATTGTTATAAGAATCACATGCAGTGAACTTTTCTAGCAGTCTGTCAATCTGTAGGTTTTCATTACATACTGCTAGATGGCGTCTGTTGTTTCTGATGTAAGTGTTCTGGTTGTAGTAGTATGATCTGCTTGTAAATGGTTGTTTGTGATATAGAACATTTTGTTCTAGTTCTGTTAATATGTAGGTACTGGTTCCATTTTTGTCAACATTAGGTTGAGTTGTCAGTACATATGAAGGTTGATTTTGCCAGAAATGTTTAAATTTTAGTTCTAATATAGACTATGCACTTTTATTTCCAATATCATACTGTTATTGTTTTTCTAGGGCTAGGGGTGTCTATTATCTCAGAACGAAACCTAATCCCCCATACGCTCTTGGCCCTCCAGAACACATTAAGCAAAAGGCACTACAAATTTTGAAGAAGAGGACAACCTGAAACTCTTCGGGAGTTGGTTAATTAATTTATTATGTATGCCTGTAAAAAGATTTGCCAAATACTTATTTCTAAGGGACATTTTTGTATATAATAGGAGATAAGATGCAGAATCTTAATAGTGGGTAGAACGAAAATTAGTTGGTGATAACGCTGCTTTTGTGAAGTACAGTTTTTGTATGTCTAGTCTAACACAAAATGATAAAGAAAGGTTGGAACTAAAATAAAGGTTTTCTACTTATCGCCTACAACTTTCAATGATACCTCTATCCAAAAGGATTAGTAAAATGATGTTTGTTTCTGTTTCGATCTATTATTAGTGGATTATTATTTCTGTGAATACTTGCTACATTTTTTTTAAGAGAGTTATAGTGTCCTAATTTATTCATTCTTATGTTAATAGAACGTTTGTAGCAGGGGATTGATTAAAAATTAAAGGTTAAAATATTAATAATGCAACTATTTGCCATATATTGCAAAAATAATGAAACCTTGATCACAGCAGTGCAACAAAAATTAATTCTGCACTTTCTAATGTGATATTTACTTTAATACACGGTTCACATGTTTCTTGTAATCGCTGGTTGCGCACGCAATTCCGATTTTTCTTTCTAGAGCAACCTTAGGACCTGTATGTCTACATGGTTGATTATATAATTTGTTTATTTTAAATTAAAACGTAATTATTACTAATTACGATAAGTGTGAGTGATACGGAGAAAGTACCAGGTATTTTTTATCAGTCATCTGTTTCGATAAGGATCCATTTGAAAAAATTTCTCTTTTAATTGCATTTGAAATTTCACTACACTTGCTAATTGCTTTTCATTATCAAGGAGAGAGGTAGATAGCAAACAGAATCGTTATCACAGTATTTAACACTTTTATTTTAGACTCGGCAGGAAGTTTCACTGAACTTCCGCTTGAAACAGTGGAATCATTTTTCAAAAATAACAGGAGATGTATTTGTAACATATTTATTTATATATTCAGGAAAGTATTTTTACATATATAAACTTTAATCATCACATTTTCAAACAAGGGACATTTAGTATTAACCTTTCTATAGAATCGAAATAATTTTCTTGTTCACAAATTATTTTTTGCATGCACAAATGTGTTTTGATGGGGCATCCTATAATAAATTTGAAAGATAAAATAGTTTTTCATGTACAGGGTGAATCATTAACAATTACCTAACAACCCCATGATTTTTTTGACACAATAGTCCAAATTAACTTCAATAGTTAATGAAACATGCATTAACGGATTATTAAATAAATATATCGTTATACTTATGAATAAAATATATGCAAATACTGACTGAAAAATAATAAACATTTGGTTACCCCAACCGTTACAACTCTATTATTAGAACACAGAGATATGCAAAGATATTAACATTAAATTTCATTATATTCGTGTTATTTTATTGCCTATACACTATTATGCCCTACGCGAAAGCAGAATCTATCGAAACCCGCACTTTCCGCTTTGCAAATTTCGATAAAGCTACCTTCGGGAAAGTTACTTTAATGTAAAATAAACTCACATCCTGCCTACCAAGCATATATTGCTTAAAGGAACTGTAGTTTATTATTTCGGCGGCATTCAAATATATGACGTATATTAAACTTAAACTGAAAAATATCTACCCACTAGATGATAATGAATTATTTTCTGAAAGAGGAACGTAGCATTTGTACAGACTTAACATGCCGCGAAAATAAGTTACTTACAATATTGACAAGTTAGAGAGACGTATTAGAGAAGGGAAACGGAATTTAGGAACACTTACGTTTGTTTCAAAGCTGTTGACTGGAATATTCAGGAATACAATTGAAGACGATGAAAAAAAATTGAAAATGGATTCTTTGATATCAAACATTATGTCTATCACCTAACCTTGGATTTTCCATCTTAATATTTTTTCATTTATATTGTGACATAGGCAGAATGTTTATTATAAGAAACATAGGAAAAGCGATAAAATTTTTGCAGATACAACTTCTTTTCAATTTTACAATAGGCCATCTACTTTAGTCCCACAATATAAATGAAACTGTACATTTGTAAGTAAATTTTTTGTTTGGTAATTTTCTAGTGCTTTTAAGCCTAAACACAAAACAATTGATAAATTCTTCTTTACAACAACTAACAATTAAACGAAAACAAAATTGCGAAAACTAGAATGAAAATATATAAAATGTTAAAATAATGCTCTTTTAAACAATCATGGAATACTAAAAACACTAAATATTCACTAACGTACATAATATATGAATGGATATGTATCATTTACTTTTCTAAAACTGATTTACAGTTCTATCACGCCATTTAACTTTTTTCAAAATCCAGTCAACTAGTTCTTTGAGAAAATACATAAACTAAGACTAGAATTACTATTACATCTGTACAATTATATTACAACTTTACTCAGAATTGGAAGCTACATTTAAAAATAATTTTTATGTACACATTTTCACATCAAGAAAAACAGTTGAAGATAATAAGGTAACAACGAAGCTATTAAATAATTTCTGAGGAATGTAAGATGAATTACTAAACAGTAAACATACATTTTTCTACCTTTTAATTGATGCGTTGCCTTTTAGGTTTAATGTACTTACTTTCTCGCAATAGTTTTTATACTATTAAAAAAAATGAATCTGTCTCCATGTCAGTATAGAAAGAATATTTATCGAAAATTAACTACTTTACTAGTCTCATAATATAGTAAGAATGATAACTTAAAAATAAGAAAGAATAAAAAGAGAGAAGAACACGTTAAATAGTTCTGGCTATAGTCATAAACAGGATATGAAAGAAAAAACACATTAGCCCTAAACTAGTATACTGAAGTGGGGACAATTTTTTTTATGAAAATGATTTTACTTTGACAAATTACATTTACTTTGACGAACAGATGGAAAGTTACAGAAAATAAAGATACAGGAGAAATTAAACCATCTTGTGTTAATTGACCGTTGTCTTTGTATAAACAGTAAACGTTAATCACTAATTAATGAGTGAGCAGATAATTTGTTTCCAAGACTCTAATCATGTTAACTGTGATCTAATCGTGACAGCTAACGGAAATGTGATCATCCTGGAACGCATATTACTAATTTTTCTCTTAGCAGATTCAAAACAAAAGTTCACTCTTGATTGTGTTTATTTTCCACTGTCTTTACTGTCCGATTTTTAAAAGATCAACCTGTGGGATGCTAACTGCGACTTATATAAATGAACTTGTTATCGAATGTAATTTTTCATTCCTGTTGGTCAGAAAACGTCGTTCATAAAATGGAGCGTTATACGACGAATGAGCGAGTGAAAATTGTGAACATTTATTCCAAGTAGGGAGAGTGTGTAGCTGAGACTGTGTAGAATTTTCGGCAGGAGGAACACCCTGAATGAAGCAACTGTGAAAAGATGTGAAGTAACTTTTGGACCCTTTCTAATAGTTAAGCTTCATTTAAATGAAGTTAGCACTAGCATTCCACAGGCCAGTCTTTTAAAATTCGGGCTGTAAATAATCATATTTTCATTTTAAGAAAAAAAACGAATTAGGTTCGACTTTTGTGCTGTCAAAATAATATTTCGCGATTCCTGGTATAATATAATTAAAGTCTCTCATAAATCTCTTAAAAACATATTAATTTGAAATCCTATGTTCATGAAAAATTTTTGGCAAATTATGTTAACAACGGAAATAAAAAAAAACATTTTTCTATGATATAAATATTATTTACCCATTATTCTAGCTACCTAAGATATACATCAATTAAACTATAGACTGCACCAATGATCACAAGAACATAACATTAAATGTATGGCTAATACATCAGACCTACATAATTTTCATTACTCCTAAAATTAATGTACAGGGTGTCCCAAAGTTCGCGTTTTGGGCCCATAACAAACGAACGAAAAACGACAGTAAAAATCTGTTTAGATGGCTTGAATCGGGACTCACTAATGTTCGTTTTGCACTTGAAAAACATTTTTTTCAAAATTCGAAAAATAAAAAAAATTACGTCAACTTTTTTTTCCACGAACATACCTTTTTTATGATAACTAAAATTATCTATTTTTTATGAACATTTTTTGTGTAGAAATTTTTTCTCTATCTCTTCTCGTTGTTTTTGTTTGTCTGTTATGGGCCCGAGACACGAACCTTGGGACAGCCTGTATATAACTGTTGTTTTTGTGATCAGTGATACGTCATCGATCAAGTTTCAAATTCACACATAGAATCGTACTTTAATATAGTAATTCCATATTATTATCATTATTATTATCAACGATTGTGGCGGGTGGTAGCCCGCCAGTATTATTGTCAGCACAGCCTTGAGGTAATAGTACCTCAAATTCTTAACACTATACCTAGCGAAATTAATAAAAAAAAACTTAAAGACGCAGCAGTAACGAGCTTTGCACAGCTTAAAATCCGTTATTTTATCATTTCAGCTTTAATTTTAATATATTTTACAAATACAAAACTTACAAGGCTTCATATATTTTCTTCGAACCAATTTTATATGGTATTAAGCAAAATATTTTTTATAAGTAATTTTTATTTAATACTCAACTGCCGCTAAATACAATCAATCTATATTGAAATATTCACAGAAGGTTATAAATAATTTTCTTTTTAAAAGAACAATTAATATTTTCATTCCATGAAATTGAAACAGTTTTATATTTCTTTAAGAATTAAACAATTTTCAACAAGGATTTTTCTTGATCCATACACAAGTAACTAATATGGATTATGAAAATTAATATACTCTATATCCTTAACTTTCTGGTATTTTAAAACTACTTTGATGGCTTCGTCAAACGAATGCACTATTATTTGACGAGATCATATTACATTTTAACACGAAACACTCGAATATTTCTAAAGAGCTAATTTAGTATACACATTAATTCATTTGAATAATAGTAACAAACAGCTGTACAAATTGACGGCATTGGTATCTAAATATATTTTAGATTAGTGCTTGATCTAACAGTTGCATTCTTCTTTGGATTATACTGACACTTGAGGAACTAACGATAATAGTAACCAACACAAACACGTTTATGTATTTTGTACAATTTTAACAAGCCCTAACTTATACTTTTATTGAATTCAAAAGATCAGCGAAAATTAAATTAATTCGTATTATTATTACCAACATAAGTCTTGATAATACTATTCCATTATTGTTTCACAGGTAAGGCAATGTTCTCGAAATTAAATTATTTTATTTATTTAAACCTCAAAAACTCAAATCTATTCTAAAGTGGTCTTCAAGTAAACAATACTTTTATGAAGTAAATAGGTGCCATGTTGTCTAATAAGTGCATATAGGCACTGTATTTAAGGAAAGCAACTCTATGCGGAGAATAACTGGAATTTAAACAGCACTAGACTCCCAGAAATTCTTTTTCTTCTTTGTAAGACCTATACACACATACCCATCACTTTTTGACTACTATTTTACACATTTTCTGAGATTCAGCAACTCATGGCATAAAAAACGTTCTTAAAAAATAGAAAAAAATTTGTAAAAACGTGACTTATTTACAAAATAAGATCTAGTAAAGTTTATCTTTACATTATAATTCCCTATTTGTTTTGTTATTACCTAAATTTTTTTATAAAATCTGTTCTTTCTTATCTCATCTATCTAAAACAAATTTAGTTTAAATATAAAATAAACATTTTACTACCATTTCTAATGTAATTTTAAAACCATTTTAAAAATTTAAAACAATGTGTTCCACTTTTCATTCAGGTTCCAGTTTATTTGAAAAAATTATTTATATACAGGGTCGGAAAGTCCCCATGGTTCATCGACCGTTACGTGGGAGCGATAAAGTAAGTCATAGAAATCCATGCAATAGAGAAGGATGGCTATAATGAAGGCGTCTCATAGTCACCACAATTCCGACTTCGTATTCCGATATGTTAATACAATCCGTTAACAGAGGGCAGCACAATTTGTCTAAGGTGAGACGCAGCCCTAGAAAGAGTGATGCCAGATCTACAAATTTTTTTGGAATTGGGGAAATAGGAAATTTTGCTTTATTTACAGTCATTTTAAATGCAGCTGAGCACTATACTCCATTTGAATAACTTCTCAGTAGGGGAAACAAGGTCACTAGATTTACAAACAGAGGTATCTACTAGCTACTGTAAAAAGTTTTCTTTCTCACGCGTTGTGCTGCCCTCTGTTAACGGATGGTATTAAAGAAAAGCCAAACGACGAAAACAAAGATGACCACCGGTCGCTGAATTACAAGTGGAAGTGGATCTTATTTGTGGAAGGGCGAAACGGGCGGTGATTATGAGACGCCTTCATTATAGCCATCCTTCTCTATCGCACGTATTTCTATGACTTACTTTATCGCTCCCACGTAACGGGCGATGAACCATGGGGACTTTCCGACCCTGTATATTATGTCTTCATTTCTAGCGATGTTGCTTTTAGCTGTCAGATTTTATTTCACCAAAACATCTCCATGAAAAACAATAAACAGTGGTGAAAATTTCTTCAGGGTTTGTTATAGATATTTCTTTAAATTTTTTACAATAGTGTTGTTTTAGATAAAGTTTATATCTGAATAAATTCAAAATTGGGAAGCGAGTAGAAAAGTTGAACAGTGTTGTCACTTTACTGCACAAATCTTACGACATTAATTTTTGTCTGTTAATTCCATTGAAATTGAATATTCTGCTAAACAAAATGTAGAAGCTTGTGCCACAAATTTTTTCTGATAGCAACTATCACAAAAACTGTCATATACGTAGCGACATGACCAACTTAGCAAACCGATCCTTGTGACCCTAGCACAGATTTGCCTAATTGGTTATAAAATGAATACTAGATAATGGATATAAAACAGTAAGTATGACTTCCTGTGTTAATTAATCAGTTTGATAGGTCAAATTTTCTACTCGTCCTTACGCAAATCCCTTAATAAGTTCGATCGTCGATGGTACCGTGCATGTAGGTGTCCTGAGCAATAGGCTGCACAGGTTCCTGCCGGAATGGGTTCGAGGATGACCTGAAGGGGTTGCCTGAGGAAACAATTGGCGCGGGATGAGGTGATTGAGCCGGGTATGGCTCTGAAGGAGCAGTTGGGGCCTCCTGGGAGTACAGGCGTGGCGGTGGGGTTGGTCTTGGTGGTTTGCTCTCCAATGGCGTCTCCATGGCTCCGTAGTTTGTTATGGCGCCGCTTGGCTGTCTTTGCAGTAAGCCGTTATTCTTGGACTGAAAATCAGTGTTTTGAATATTTTTTTTTAATCCGAAAAGTTTGTACAGGGTGTTTTAAAATGAAGTAGTAAAAATAGTACCAGTGAATGTAGAGCCAAAAATAAGAGGATTGAAGTAAAAATACCTTATATGAAAGTTGCACCCATGAGGCAATATACCCTCTTAAAGGAGGGGATTGAAATTCACATTTTAATTTTTTTCTCTAACATGAGAAATGTTAGAGACACGAAACTTGGTATAAGCATCCTACTAATAAAGATACCACTTTTCAATATTTGTTCGATCGTTGGCGTATTTTATGAAGGAGTGAAACAGTCAACCCATTGCAAAATTGTATTATAAATTTTTTATATGACGCAAATTATTTATTTAAAAATATTTGTTGGGAAGACTGATTTATTGCGCAACTTTTTTACCTCTTGTAATTTTTCGATAAAACCGATTGTTTTCTAGTAAAAAAATTAGATGCGTCATCGTTCACTAAAGGGGTTATTGCGAAAATTTGTAAAAATAAAGTACCTAGCAGTTTGCAATTAAAATTTTTCTGATGGAAAAATAACTAGGAGATTCTCGCAAACATTTGAATAGTTCAAATCAAATCAAGTCAGCAATTCCCGTTATTTAATGACTTCCTCTGGCCTTTTAAAATCATTAATATTATTCAGAATTAATAAAGTATCCGCATAGAAACTGAAATAGTACCCTGGTTACTTTGAGTTCAAATTTCTGTATTTTCTTCTTTTTTTTATCACCAGACAAACGTAAAATTACGGGGAAATCAACAATTTGTCCTTACTGGCGATTTCCTGACCGACATAGCTTCGTTCATCTGGTTCCATTGTTTTTTTTCTTCCAAACTTGAATCAGCCCATGGTTGCAGCTCGCCAGATGCGAATATGCCGTAGAATATTATACCGACGTAGTGTATTAAGGCTGATATAATGAATACTATCTTCCACTCCTGCTTTTTCTGCAAAAATAAAAGTTAACAATTGAAAATTTGCTACCTCTAAACGCAAATTGCATAGAAAAATGTTTTTATTCAATCACTTAAATAATTTTTATACAACTGCCTTGCAAAAGGGGGTTTTGCGCACGGAAAACACGCTCTGAAAACGGTATTTTGCACACGCCGTGTGCTAAACATTTTGCACACGGTTATGTCATCTTTGCACACGCGTCTTCAGATTGTGATTTTTGTTTGATGTTGTCACCCAAATTATGCAATGTTTCAAGTTGGCTGAGTTTCATAGCAACCGTCACGGCTCCTTTATTTTGTTGATTAGATACTTCAAAAATTGTTGAATTCCCGAAGTTTGGGTGTGAAAATGTGTGATTCTGAAGAGATTTTACAGAAAGCAAGCGAAATATGTTCGGAACTGCTGCCCACAAAATCCAGAAGCAGGTATGAAGCTGAGTTAAGCCGATTTATGGACTGGCGACTAGCCAAAAATGTCCAAACTTTCTCAGAAAACGCAGTAATGGTGTATTTTGAAGAACTATCTAAGAAATATAAATCTTCGACGTTGTGGACGATTTTTTCGATGCTCAAGTCAACGTTAAGTGCCAATCACAACATAGATCTTGGAAGCTATAAAAAGTTGCAAGCGCTAATCAAACGAAAATCCGAAAACTACGTCCCAAAGAAGTCCCAAATCCTCACAGAAGATGATTTTTGCCGGTTTTTGACGAAAGCATCAGACGACAAATATTTACTTATCAAGGCGGTGGTGGCAGTTGGACTATCTGGGGCATGTCGAAGGGAGGAATTATGTTATCTCAAAATAGAAGACACCAAAGATTTCGGCAGTGCTATGCTGATTAAACTGAAGAATACAAAAACAAAGGTACCAAGGTGTTTTACAATTACAGGAAACCTTTACACTATCTTAAAAAAGTACTGTGCTCTTCGTCCTCCTAATCTGAAGACAGGCAGGTTTTTTTTAAACTATCAAAACGGAAAATGTTCAAGCCAAAACGTTGGCATCAACAAAATTGGAAACATGGCTAGGGAAATCGCCAAGTTTTTGATGCTAGAGAATCCAGAAAGTTACACGGGACATTGTTTTCGGCGTTCATCGGCCACAATTTTAGTCAATTCTGGCTCAAATCTGCTTGCCCTCAAACGCCATGGAGGGTGGAAATCCAGTACAGTTGCCGAAGGCTACGTTGATGACTGTTTGAGAAATAAAATGGAAGTTTCGAAAAAGATAGAGTCTTCAGTGTCTTCTGCTGCCACAGAACCAGAACAACGATCGTCTACTGGAATACAACAAGAAAACAACGACCGCACGCTGAAAAACTGCACTAAAAACACGACACCAAAAATATTCTCTATTACCGAAAACAAGGTGCACAATAATACTGCTTTTCCCAGCGTAACCTTGAAGGAATGTTCAAATGTTACCATAAATATTAAATATTAGTTTCTTTTGTTAATGCGTTAGCAATTTTCTTAATAAAAACGAGTTAAATTAAAAGTTGTATTTAATTTATTTTGTTAATGCGTTGGCAATTTTAGTAATAAAAACGATTTAAATTAAAATTTGATTTTTGTGGTCTCTGTTTGCAGTCGTATAAAAAGTATCGTAAAAAACTCGTTTGAAAACCTCTTTGCACACTCGCTCGACTTGTGGACCTCGCCTTCGGCTCGGTCCACCAATATGTCTCGCTCGTGTGCAGAGTCGTTTTCAAACCTTGTTTAATATATTATTAACTAATTTACCATTCGTTATTTTGTTATAAATTAAATGGGTCTAGCTTGGAATTTAGAGGTGACTCATATGTAAAAATCAAGGACCGTTAATTTTTTTAATGAATCAGAAAGGAAAGAATATCTTGTGGAAGCACAACCAAAGCTGTTGTTTCTGATTGAATATAAAAATGTTGGCATATCAATCTGTGAAGAACAAGTATGACGACATGTTATTTCTATCTCTAAACATTCTTGTAAAGATCTACTTTAAAAAATATTACAGCTCGTCTACGTATCTGAAATTAAAGTCAGTTCTAGACACCCAATTGAGTTATTTGTCTCGGCTGTTACTCCAAATCACAGAGAAATCCTTCCCGAGGAGTTTTTCAAATTCGTAACGCTATTTATTCATTGTTTCTGTGTCGGATCCGCACGAACGCCTCGTTCGCCGCCTCACAACAATGGTATCGCTTCCGAGCGCGAGGGCGAAATGACGTGCATACCGAGAGGTCGCTTTCGCGAGGGCAGCCGTGTGTGAAAAGTGGGGGCGGTGTGCGGCCAGCCGGGATATGAAATATAGCGTGTCCTGCTGCCACTTAAAACTGCGAGATGGTATTGCCTTCCTGTGCGGAATATTTGATGACCGTTTCTAAAAGTTAAAGCCACTACGTACAAGCCTTTAAATTCTCAAAAAGGGGACCGTCAATTGCATCCAACTTTTCTTTAACATAAGCCCACTTAAGGAGGTATATCGGGTTTACTCAAATGCACAGATGTACTTGAAATTTATATAGCGTATTAGCCAGTGCTCCCTCTGTGCGTCATATTTTTTTGAAATTTTTTTTGAATCTAGATTTTGATTGAAAGTTGTTCATTTTAACATACACTGAGAGAATTTCTTTGTTACGGTTAGTAAAAATCCATTAACCGTAGCAAAATATCTGCATTAAATAGGCGCCAAGTGAGTTGCCTTCCTACCAGAAAAACTGCTTTGCTGGAAGGAACTCACTTGCAGTAAGTAGACAGTTTTGCTATAATCTCTTTGCTACCTCAAGCAAGTGAACTCATTAACCACAAACGACTCAACTCATTATCCCCAAACGAGTGAACTCATTAAAAGCTAGTCCTCATTAATCCTAAGCGAGTCAACTCATTAACCCCAAGGGAGTGAACTCCGTATTTACTATTTTTCGGTGTTGTTGGCTCTCCTCACTCTTTCGTGCACCATGCAATGCAACTTAAATGTTGTACATATTTTCAAACAAGCATAAAATGAAAATCCCCATTCGAGAAGTAAAAATTTGTATCCAACCTGCATTGTGTGCATGTAATCACGCATGCATATAAGTATTATTGCATACCTACGCAAATACCCTAATTGAAAACTTTCTGTCGGTTGTTAGACAACTGAAAACTGACTCAACACACGATCACAAAACATCTATTTATTATAAAGGACCCATCGACTAACGATTGACGAACGTATATCCCAGTGTTTAAGTGTTACAGCAAAATGGCGATACATGGTCAGTATAAGGCTCGCGTAATCGCGCATGCGCACTGAGCCGAATTCCGGTTTATTCTGGAAATTAATAAGTGAGGCCTCAGGTACAGTAAGTGAGCCCTAATTTGCTACAAATAAGGACTGACTAACCCCAATTGGATCAATTCTAAAAAAGTACATTCACTTACCCGAGCAAAGCAACTCACTTGGGACAGATAGACAGTCGACTAAAATAAAATTTCAACTGAACTATCATATAGCCACAAGACTTTTCTTTGTTGTGGTAGCAAACACGTTTCAGCAAAACGTATTTACTTGTGGCAGCATGAATTTTTTTCTGTGAGAGCAAAAATTTTACCTACTGTAGCTAAAATATCTTAGCAAAGCCCCTCACTTGGTGGATTTCTTTCAGTGTA